TTTCAATCTTTAAATAATCCAATGTCCAATTTTGTGCAGCTTTTTAATACATTGTGACACAACATCCAACATTTTTTATATTAAAAATAAAATTTCCATTGATAGACAGCAGATTTCAACAACCAAAACGACTCTTCGTCTTCTTTAAAGAGTTGATACACTCCTATCTATTCATATTGTCAGCCATATTTATTAGTAAAAGTTCGTGTTCAATTTCCGCATTCCATTGTTTTCATGCGACCAATCAAATCACTTCTCGTTTTGGTTTTCGCCAGGGCCTCCGGCAACGCAGTGTCAGCCGTGAGGCCCTGGGACCGAGGATGGGTGGTCACAGTAAGATGGCGGCCGCGCGCGACTTCCGGCTTCAATTTCTGTATCTATAGTTGCGCTCTCCATATATTTATAGCTCAGTGGGATGACGTCAAACTCATGGCATGGTGCAATTGTGCAATATTTTTAAAATGAAATACTGATTTAATTAAAATGAAATGCACTCCCAAAAATAATTTCCCAAAAAATTTCCACGAGAATACCAGATCTTTTTAATTAAAGAACAACTTTGACCTGCAGAACCATTTCTGGCATTTCCAGAGTCACGCGATACAAGCGTAGCATTGTTTTGACGATTTTAGTCGTATTTCCGGTTGGGATTATCGCAAATTCGGAGCAGAAATGTAAAATTCGGCACTAAAAGTCACACTTTAAAGATAGAAGCTTGAAAAAAACACTATACATGGTATTGTAACTGCTTAATTCATCAAGGATATCAGAATGAGCATACGTCTCAAGGGGCCGAAGTTATGTTCGGCGAAAGGTATGTTTTATGTATTTATAATTTATTGGTAATAATGCGTAAAGTGATCATATACGATCTCGCTTTACTTTCAAAGCTCATAAATAGCTATAATGTTGCCATTGACTAAAACTATCGTTACGAATGAAGATATATTGTTACACGGAATCGAATGGTGGTATTTTGTCCTCATAGCATTCAATGCCGAACCGAAGATATGAAATGTCAAACACGTATTACAGCACTGACACTGTATTGCGATAATAGGGTAGTGCCGTAAAGAGTTAAAGTTGTTTTACCGGAAATTTTTCATATTCTTAGTACTTAAAATGGCACTAAAAACCCAATATGAAATATAAAGAACTTAACTGTCTTGAAATATTTTGTCGGGCGGTACATTTATATTGTATAACAAAATATAAAAAAATTTCACGCGGCTCTTAAAATACAGTCGGGCGGTGATGAGAATCAAGGAATTTATTTTATGTGGCCTTATAGGGAAAGTTATTTTTTTCCCAAAGTTTGCAGCAAATTTCAAAATTGACGACTAGGTCTAGGTCAATTGTCAATCAATTGCAATTTGCTATGAGAAAACGGGTTGTGAATTGAGGACTTCAATGATCTGGTTTCTTGCACTTCACTTGGTGGTATTAATGAATTGAGCTATATCTTGTACTAGACACAGGAATCATGCAAATACTCTACCGTTAACACATAAGTAATTATAAATATTATATTGTCTATTGAATAATTTTACTAAACAATTTCTTTGTAGTTAATTTAAAGTAACGGAAAATTCTAGAGTATATACTTTGCTTCAGCTCCGACTTGACCTCTGACTGCGCAGTATATTAGGAGTTCTTTATTTTCCAGACGACATTTCACAACAATAAACAGCGGGTAGCTATATTTAGTTATAATTTAATATATACCTGAATATGCTAAATGTTTATGATATGCCATCGAAGGTACAGTAATTCATTATTAATTTAATTTTTAATTTTGTAATATTCGGGTTAAAGGGTTATGCAAAATGCCGAGTTCTGAACGAAATTGTAATCCCAATTAGATGACGCTTCATATTTTGCTAAATTCTTTTATTGAACGGAAAATAATCAACCTTATCGCTGTTACTAGAGATAATATATGCTAAATAAATTTTCAATTCATTGTGTTTTGGTTATCGGCATTGAAATTTAAAAATGCAACGAACCACAACTGAGTAAACATACGACATCACTAGAACTCCCAACAAAATTGAATCCTTGTCCGGTTCTGATTTGGTTAGGTTTCTCTGTTTTTAGTTTTTTACAATTAATATTCTGCATGGTTTCGAACAAGGGTAATGAAGCCACTAGAGCATCACATCACGAACTGCATGACTATCGCGCTCTACAGTATGTATAAAAAACGGAACCCTTTCAAATTCAAATTAGCTATAACGTATTGTAGTAATTTGACAGCTCTAATTGCTTTAAACTAATGGGATGGATAAGTCTTGTACTCATGGGACAAAACTCAAAGAAATAAAAATTTAAAAATTTAAAAGGAATACAGTATTTCTTTTAAATTTTCTAATTTTTATTTCTTTGAGTTTTGTCCCGTGAGTACAAGACCTTGTGTTCTTACCCAACCATTAATTCAAAGCAATTAAAGCTGTCAAATTACTACAATACGTTACAGCTAATTTGAATTTGAAAGGGTTCAGTTTTTTTTATACACCCTGTGTAAGTTAATAAAAATATTTGACAATTTACAGTATTTGAAATATCACATGCGGGATTGAACATTGTTTTAATTAAACAATGTTCAGAAAAGGTTATCCTTAAACCGCAGACGAAATGATTGAATATTTAGAGAAATTATTACATTAAATGCCCAAAACCCTTAATTATTTGTATAGTGCACAGTGAGAGGTCACCCAATTCAGGTCGGAGCTGAAACGAAATATGTTGGACATCCTGTTATTTACAACATACTCAGCAGTAATGTGCAGAGTTTGCACGTTTGTGCGTCAGATGAGTCTAATGTGCGACGCCGAATGGTTGTGGTTTCACTGTTTAATTAACAAAAAAATTGGTGCACCAAAGTTTGACGTTTGTTGCTAACTAAGAAAGATTAAGGTACAGTAATTAGCTGCCTTATTGCCCTTTCCAGCTAGTTAATTAAAATTTGTTTTAGGATAATGAGGTTGGAAAACCTAACCGAATTTGGTTTAGTAGAGGAAATACAAAGGGCCGTTACCGCAACCGATTTACCGATTTTCGTTAACGCAACCTGAAATCTTGTGAGGTGTAACTAAAGATTTAACTTAAAAATCAACATGCATCTCAACTTGCTTGAAATGATCGCATCAATTAACCTGCACGTAAGACGTCGGTATGACTAAACTGTTCATAACAAACAAAAAATTAATACTGAAATATTCTTATTTTCTAGTCAGATCAACTAAGGAATTTTTTCACACTGATTGGGATGAAGTACAAGATTGCGATTTTCTTTCTGTTCGGTGTCTTTATGGTTGAGACGAAAGTGGTTAGGGATCAAAATAAATTCACGGTAGGATTGCATGGGCAGTTATTTCATGCATGGTTATGTTATTTGGTTAACGCAGGACTCCATTGTCCTATACAGTATGTGCCATTGTGACATATGAAAAGGATCATAAGCATGTTACAATCTCAACTGCAACTTGAAAACCAAAGCTATACTGGTGTTTACATGGTAGCGGGTTGGTTTTCGCTTCGTTCGCGAAACGTTACGGTCATTGTAAACAGCTTTGTGCCTGCTCTTCTATTGCCGTGGTCTTTTCTTTTATCGGCTATTTACCAAAAACAGAAATATTGCCAAAGTATTTATTTGCCACGATTGGTGTATACATTTTCACGTCCCTACGGAAAGCTATCCGGAAAAGTGTAAACGTAGCCTTTATAATTTCATATGTAAATACAAGCCCTATTTGGTACAATCTCGTTCTCAGAGTATGCCCGTCTGCAGGTTAGGTGCTGGGCATGATTCTGGAGAAACAGAATGAGATTTTCAATTTCATTGGCTGCCGTGAGATCAATGACACCCAAACCGGAAATTGGTTTCAAGTGCGGGAATTACGCGGGGAAATTCCCGAATACGACGTAAACAAGACAAAAATACACGAAATCGTACAATATTAAAGACCTCTCCAATTAATTACGTGTATTTGCAAGATTTCAAATACCGGTGAAATACATTAATTCTGATTGAAGATTTGCGATCTGTACACTTTTATATCTTAGAGTTATACACCTTTACATGTACACTTTTATATCTTAGGGTTATACACTTTTATATGTACACTTTTATATCTTAGGGGTTAGGGTTGTTGTTCTAATAGTTAGTCGTTCTCTGGTTTTTAAAGATTTATTAAACGAGCTTTCGACTGCCAGTCTGCAGTCTTCAGGCCCGGTCAGGTGTTTTGGGTATACGCGGGTATCTTGGGCATTTTATTTGAGGTACATGATATCAGGACAGTTTAGTTTGGGTAACCTTAATTAACCCCCTCTCCTGACCGGGCCTGAGTCTTCAACGGCTAAGTGATAATGAGTTACATGCAATAAACATTGGTTTACAATAACATATACAAACAATTTTAATTCTAAAAATATCTTGAACACTTTAAATAATAGTTTAATTATCATACCTATTATGTAGGCGGAACTGTTAATTGTGTGTATAATTATGTAATTGTAAACCAGTGTTTTTTCCATGAAACTCATTACTGGCATTCGAAACTGCTGGTTTAATAAATCTTTAAAACAAGAGAACGTTTAACTATTAATATGAATAATCCTGATTACGCTTCAACCATTTCTAAACTTATGTTATAAATACCGATATGAAAGCTGACTGACATGGCTGATTCCCGAAACAAATTTAATGTTTTGCATTGTTGAAAGAATTCCCCTGCAATTCAACTATGCTAGTGATTGGCATTGTTGGCTTTTTTAGCTTTCAGTTCTGGAAATTACCTTCAAAAACTTATTAATAATTTAGGAGGAAAACACAAAGAAAAATCATAAGCGTGTCGTGGTTTTATATGTGATAAAAAATCATGTTAATTTACATAAACTTTAGCTTTGATTTTCTCGGTTTACACAAAGTTTATTTTAAAAATTACTTCGCCAATGAACTCGTATAAGATGAGTCGTTTTTGAAGCCATTTAAAGCACTTGTAGTCGTGTTTTATCACATATAAAACACTCCGCTACGCGTCGTGTTTTATATGTGATAAAACACTCCTACGCGTGCTTTAAATAGTACATAACTCCTGAATGAATATACTGGTAATTTTGTGATCAATGGATCAGTTACAAATACATTAAGGCATGGAGTTGCCATATTGTAGTAGTGCAATATTAGATAAAATTTTTAATTTTATAACAAATCTACTGTTAAGTCCTCACCATCCTCCTGTCGAATTATAATTAAGCCTAAGCCTCAGAACAAAGGAAGAAACCTTTTAGAACAAAGGAAGCTTCCGTCCTCTTCAGAACAAAGAAATACACATGTCAGTGCTGATTTGATTTATTGATTATGAAAGTACATGCTATAGTTCCTAGACTCCATGCCTGAAATAAATAAGCTGTTTGGGGCTTAGCAGAAGATAAACAATACAGCAGTATAGAGTGCCAACCACTCTCCCTCTCCACCCAACAAATCCTGAAAGCCTTTGAATGAAAATAACAATATTTTTTCAACCATGAAATCATAGGTTGGAAATGGATTAAACTATAAATTGCCAGAAATTAAATTAAAGAGCTGAGATTTATAACACCAATCCAGACTTCCCACCTTTGAAATGATATTATGCTAACAATATGGATGTGATAACTCATACTGGCAGCATGTCAAAATGTCATCCTACATTCTGCAACATTAGCCAACTATGGCTTATAAAACGTGTATATACATATTCAATATATAGCAATAGTAGCTGGTTATCCTGACTTGACTTGCCATATGCACCAATGTCAGGACATCAGAGTCATGAAGAGATATGGTAATATGCATAATTGTCAGAAGGTGAGGGTATTTCAAAATGTATCATGACAGATTGTCTAATAATGGCAGATTACCCACACAGTGGGACCCCAGTATTTGAATAGGAAATTTACCAATACCCTGCCTCGCCTGCAACCTTTCAGACCAGGGCCTCTTTTAATACCATATATGGCGGGACTTGTCCTCCCTCCAGTCCCTGGTTTGGCCCCTCCAGCGATTATGTTGTTCTTCCCAGTGAAGGTCCCTTCTGTCTAAAATATAAGCACAAAAGGGAAGAATAACGAAATTAAGAAGAGTATTTTAGTATTTCCATGACCAAATCTTTGTCTAGCGAATTGTGTCTAAAAATACCGAAAATCAAGCCCCAGACACTTATTAAAAAGGCAATATTTTTCTTACCCAGAAAAGTTCCCATTTTTCTCGTTCACCACCTCCTCTGCCTCATCGCTTCAGTTTCGAATAGAGATCTGTGAGGGAACAATGGGAAAATAAATTAGTGTTTATTTATAAAGTGAAAAATAGTGAGCTACCAGAAAGTATGAACCAATTGTTCGAAATCACTAATAATCAGAACTACAATTTACGCAGTAAGGTATGATTTTCTTTTACAAAAACCAAAAACAAATTACATGAAAAAAGCATTAGTTATAATGGAGCAATAGCGTGGAACAATTTGTCAAATAATGTAAAAGCAACAAATATGTCGTTTGGCCAATTTAAGGCTGCTCTCCACCGCAAATAATACGTGATTCTCTTCTGTAAATAGTTTTCCATATTTGAATAATTTCTTGCATGTTAGTTAAGTTTCTTTGTTATTATTCTGTAAATATCTTTCTATTTGACAACATTTCCTGCACGTTAAATCTTAATTACGTTGTTGTGATTTTGTAAATAATGTATATTTTTAATTTAATATTTTGTAAATATTTTAACGGCCCCTTGGAAATCAACTACCTAGGTGTGTTGAAGGGTTACCGGTCTTAAATAAGAGTACATAAAAATAAAATAATAATAAGCTACAATTCACTGAATTCAGTCAAATCAGCTACAATTTGTACAGAATAAATTCATCAAAATTATCGTGATTGTATAGCTTGGAAAGAACAATGAGTCCTGTGAACAATGGGAACTTCGAAACTTTATCAGAAAATATATGGGGATTTACATAAAATCATATCCCTGACGGGCACGCCTATTACATTTCTGTTTTTAGAAACAACGCTAGTGCCACAGTTTTTAAAATAGAGTCTCAAAATTTTGTGTACTTATACTAATTTTGACCGGCTCTTTTCATTTCTGGTACTTATGAAGTGCTATATCATTTTAAATTAACTTACAAAGGGTGATTATAATTAAAGTCTATTCTTTGTTCTATTCTCACTCCAGTTGCAAGTTATGCTAGTTGTATGTACGTACACTCGATCAACAGGCATGATAAGACATCTCATGTGGTCGTAATTAATATTGACTAGAACTGTGATATTGGTACAGCCTGGTTGCCAAGATACTGTTATTAAATGACTAAAGTAATTAGATTAAAAAGTAAATTTGATTACTAATTTCAGACTACGAGTTAGGGTAGCGAACCATTACAGAAAGCGTGGGGTAGATTTGACCAAATTCCCTAACTTAAGTCATTCAAGTCTAGCTATTGACTTGACTCGACTTAAACCAGTGACTCGACTCGACTGAAGCCGCTGACTCGACTCCACTCGATCAGAAACTGAAATGACTCGACTCGTGACTCGACCTTTGAGTGACTCGACTAGTGACTCCACCTGTAAGTGACTCGTTACACACTGCTTTCAACAATAACATTTCTTATGATTCAGCCGAATATCTTTCTCGGATGGATGTTTACGATATAAATATCCTCTAGAACAACAATTTTTTTTCAGATAGGCGCACCCTTCAAGTGATAGTTCATTTGTTAGTCGTCAAAGAGAAAGATGCGAAGCACCTTATTTTCGCCCTGTGTTGGAGGAGGACCACGGTAGTGTTCAGGCAAGTGTGGGAGTGTGGGGAGACCAAGACTGGACGTGTCACAACATGTGATCGAAACTCTCAATTCTCAAGTTGGACTTGCCTGAGAAGAAATTACAAGAAATTTTGAATGTCTGAGAGTACAATACGACGACGACGTCGACGTTAATTTGTCTTAGCTTATACGAACAGGGAATCAGATTCCACCATAACTCATAAGGGACAATGATCTTAGCTTGATCTACTTGTTCGTGGTATCTTACAAGTAACACCCATGATTGGCTATAGATTAGTACAAGTATATTTATATTTCTCTCGTAAACATCCACACGGCGAGATAGATATTCGGCTGAATCATAGGAAATTTTATTGTTAAAAGACAAGCTCAGCAATGTTTGTAAAGAGCGAAAGAATTCTTCAATTTCAAAATCGTTAAGCTGGCTTCTTGGTTCACTTCCGTTTCCTGACTTCCTCTGTATTTTAAGTTGCTTATTTCCTCTTCCTTTCGATTTATAGTTTATTTACTCTCTATTGCCTTATTTTTTCCTTCGCCCAACGTTTGTCTTTTGACGTATGAACGCGAAGCTGAAACTCTCTATTAAAATATTGTTGTTTTTATATGCATGTGTCGTGTTATCGAGCCGTTCCACTTATGAATTTATGACAATTTACAATAGACTCGCTGTTGGCTGCTAGCTAAGCAAATGTTCTTTGCTTGTCCTTGAGTATATTACAAATCCTTTCATAGTACTTCTTGCGATTTTGTCCAATATGAAACTGAAAGAGTGCAGTATGTAGATCTTACGTAGCGATGTCGCAAATTCAATCCACAAAGAATACAACAACTGAACCTTTCAATTTCAAATTAGCTAGCTATAACGTATTGTAGTAAAGAAATACTGATTTCTTTTAAATTTTCTAATTTTTATTTCTTTGATTTTTGTCCCGTGGAGTACAAGAACTTGTGTTCTTACCCAACCATTAATTCAAAGCAATTAGAGAAAAATATCTTTGTATGGTTCAGTTAAAAAACATTTTATACAATAAATTTATCGACAGTCACCTTTTGTTTATTTTCTTGCATAATACTACTTCTAACACATGTAGACTATAATTATTTCTAGTTTTTAGGTTGTCACGTTCATTATTCCGCTGGCATTTTCATAGAAAAGGCAAAACATCGAAGTCGTTTCCATTTTGAGTTTTTGACAACATTTGGAACACTGACAACACGTTCGCAATACAGATTTTAGTAATGTTGACGCATGCGCAGACGTTTTCCCGCGGTGTTCAATTAAGGTGGCTCATCAGTTTTGCATTGCGCAACTTTACTGCGTATATCTAATAACAAATTCTAGCTGATATATATAGTCGAACTACAGTGTGAAACTAGTGAGAAAAAAAGATTAACGACAAAGAGAAACACACTCTGCATTGATTAGACGTGCTTCAGGAAATATACCTTCAAAAATGACAGAACTCTGGCCAGGGTTGGCTGTGTAACTAACGCTAAGTCACATCATGTTGCATGTTTAACCCTTGTAGCAAGCCGTAGCTGGTTCTCAATTTCGGGGAGGGGGGGGGGGGCACTACTGAAAAATTTAGCAGTGTGAATGTTATTGTGTCCGGTTGCAGCTCTGGAAAAAGTGGTAAAAATACGTTTTTCTAGACCATGAAGAATGTTACATTTGTCCTTTATTTCTTAAAACTTTAAAGTAAACATAGGAACCAACTTTCCAGCTCTAAAATGAACTTAACCAAACATGGGAGCCACAGGAATTATAATCTGATTAATAGTTTATACAAAAAGGGAATCGCCGCTTTAAAGTAAATCAGGGTCAATTGTATAGCTTCGGCAAAAAATTATTAAAATCAGAGAGAACAAATTTTGTGGGTTGGGGCTCGGAGGTATGATTTCAATTTTGTTTCCTGCCTTGTAGTTCCTTAAGATAATCCTTGACGCTATAGCTACTACTTTATTTTATATTTTTGTTGTTCGTTTATACGTTTTACATGTGATATCATTTCATATGATTTCTACAACTTTTAATAATTGCGGTTATTGCGTGCATATCCCCAACTGAATAACATGTCTGAGGAGAGGGAAAAAACATGTTTGCACCAACGACGACAATGCATGCACCTCTACGGTTTTTGATTTGCTAAAATACCATGTTTTTTATATATAATCACTAGAAAGACATTTTTGGTAGGATCCTTGTTAAAAAATTCAATAACGGTTGAGCAATTGCGATTATTCCTGTAACTCGTAAAATGGACATGATAGCGCCATATGGGGAAAACGTGGCATACTGCACTTGTCATATGCTGGAAGAGGTCGGTGATCCCAAATTTTTCCCGCGTTGTTATTATGAGCATATCATAAACATCACCCCTGAGAAATTTCAGCAAATTCTCATTTCCAGAAAATCAGCTTTTAATGAATGATCCAGCTATAGACTAAATTTTGATCTAGGTTAGAAGAAGAAAAAAACAATCTCTGCAACCAGAAAGAGCATGTTAAATTAAAATTAGTAAAATTGCAAAGTTTGGTTGTAAAATGTTGTAAAATGAGGAAAATATAGCCATACGAAATTTGCAAATTTTGTATTAATTTGTATTACTATTCAATTTTGTGTATGCCATGCAGCTTGCATTAAAAAACATTAGGGACTGATCATTATTTATGGAAGGGGAGAGGGGAATTTTTTCATTCTTAAATTTTTATAATTGAAAGCCCCCCCCCCCCCGTTAAAAGAGCAGAAATTTAATGATGACTCCCATTGAAATTAGAATGTTTTTCTTTGACCCTTCCATTTTCATTTTTACTCGTCAAATAGCCAGGCGTCACAGAGTTAATTATTAATTATAATTAATTAAGATATTAACGTCGACCAAAAATAAATATTATCAGAAAATTATGAGTAAAACGAGTATTTTTATATATAACACAAAAATCATATCCATGTCAAGATAGCTGACTGTAATAATACATCGTCAATTAATCTCTGCAATCAGTAGACTGATTTAATTGCATACAGTACACAAAAGACCGGATAAATCCAGACTGTTTCACATGACTTTGTCTAGCATGCGAGTCTGCGAGTTGCGAATCTGCGAGTCCCAACACAGGAACCCCAGGTCATATAGTTGTTTATATTTTTAGCCCGCATAACATTGGACTGTCCGCGCCTGCTCTTGGGATCCTGCATGTTTACTGAATGTTCCTTCGCGGATTTTAAAGCGAATTAAAGCTCTTTGATTAAAGCATCGTTGTTTTGAGAGTTGTATGTATGTTATCGTTCTTGTCGGGGAATATCGATTAAATTCGAGAGAAATGCATTTAAAGTCGAAAAATTGAGGAACGTATTTTGGCGCTATGCAGGCACGGACGACCCAATGCTATGCGGGCTAAAAATATAAACAACTATATAACCTGGGGTTCCTGTGCTGTGACTCGCAGATTCACAACGCGCAGACTCGCAAGTTGCAGACTCGCAATATAGCCGACCTCATTTCACATCAGTGACCATGATTTAGTCGCAACATTTACAACCAAATGGATACAACAAATCAGGCTTATTAAGGCTTACAAATCAGGCTTATTTACAACCAAATCAGGCTTACTAAGCAAATTCCTAAGAATTTAATTGCACCCCCCGTCCTCATTTTTTTTTTAAAAAGCTAGTCGTTTACTTATACATATGGCCCTTCTCCCCTATTTTTGCCCTTCCCCTTCCATAAACAATCACCGTTCCCTTATTTATTGTGAATTATCGAGTTTAATAATAAGAATAGCTTAAAAATGTCGCAGATATATGAATAAAATCGGCACCACAAAGCTAGTACGGCATGGAATTTTACTTACCAAAGTGTTTAATCTTGCCCAAACCGGCACAACAACGATTAAATAATTAATAACATAAACATCAAAACAATTATTACAAACTTTGTTTGACGGTTGAACATCCACTAATTCATGAAACTGCAGGCTTATTTACAGTTAAAATCGAAGGAAAAAACGTTCTGTACTTTTGTAAACTATTTTACGACATTTAAAACAAAAATTTGCTGTAAAACAGCACAATACGTCCTTTCAAAATGAAAAAACATTTAGCCGGAGTTTGCACTTGCGCAAGAGGATAACGTCGAAATCCGCCCATGATATAAACAAAATGCAGGACAACTTTGCACTTTGCTATGTTTTCTCATACCAGGGTATAATTAGCCGTGCGGAATTAGTACCCTCGCCCCGTGAGCCCCGCTCGGCGCCTTGGCTCGGGGATGAAGTTGAGAGAAAGGATTTATGCACCGGATTCCAGACCATAATATCTTTACAGACTATTGTTACGTTTTCTTGCAAAACCAATTAATGCTGTAAATGTATGTTTAATGTCCTGGTTTGCATAAACACACCTGACAGTATATTTATAGCTTACTAAACATGTATTTATAGGGACCTGGGTGTAACTAAATAATGTGGTTTTACTCCCATGTTTGTTACGGAGAAGATTTTGGTGAGGTACACAATAACTAGGAACTCAGCATCCAGAAATTTTAGTATGCATGCGAGGCGAACGAAGAAATGATTCTATTATATCCATGTTTGCATTCAGAAACTAAATTTGCCAGCCCCATTTTTTGTTTTTTCGTCGTTTCGTATTTATGTTATTGTACTGCATGAATCCAATAACGGTAACAATATATGGTGAAATGGTTTATAAAACATTTCACTATCTCTGTGAAAAAACTTTCACTCAAATAGTGGACTGACTTCAGGCCTATAGAGAGACGTTATAGAACGCAGGGAAACTTTTTAAAACATGAAACACCGCAGTAACATGCTCAATTGTTCTATGGTCTACCGTTATGTAGAAAGCCAAACTTGAGAATGGTTATGACCCTGGGAAGTGTAATCAAAGCAACCATGCTAGATTTATTGTTGTGAAGGATCGTGAAAACAACGACAGACTCTTGATCTGTGCTGAAGAAAATGATGTTTATAACTGGAAAACAACTGATGGTGAGTTTTTGTGGGTTTTTTATGTGGAGTATATTAGCACTTCATACACACCATGCACACAAAGCCCAATCATATAAAGTTTTTTGTGATTCACGTCAGCTTTCACACAAAAGTAGAAAAATGGATATACAGTAGACAGAGAATTAAAAACTTTCTTGGGAGCATCTTGGAAATGCTTGCTGAGCAATATTTTGATCAGAATTCCTATGTGAGGTTTATAAGAGTTAAAAAGAGAAAATGAAAAGTTATGTTCATATAGCACTGTGGTTCAATTTTGAAGTTAAATATTCGTAATTCAATTCGTTCTTAATCATACAAAATAGTTCCTAAACATTGTAGGAAAACCTGGATCTATGTTTCGATCATTACCTTTTTGAAGACCACAGTTTCCACAGTATAGTCTTTAAATCCAGCAGAAGCTAATACTAGACAGATTGTAAATATGAGCAATGTCATGCAAATGGTCAAAAAATATATGGAGGTTATCTCCATATACTCGTTTCAATCGTATATGGATATAGTGTAAAGAGCTATCTTCGGAATTGTTCCACATTTAGTTGTCCCTGTTGCGTTTTTTTAAATTTAAAGTTTCAGCATTTTCCGCATAATAACAGAATCATATTGTATGCTGCATAAATTATTTGGTCGCTTTTCTTAACTGAAACGACCTCCGACCTCAGCCCCACCCAATTTGTCCATCATTTCTCGCAATGGAATCCTGCTCCCAATAACAGGTAGGCAATTTGTCGACGCTGACCAAAAATAGCGGCTCATTTCTTCTTTGAGTTTCCATTTTCGCGTCGAAGAGCAAAAATATAGACTTTCGGAGAATATTTTAGCTGTTTACTATCAAATATGTTTGTGAAACAGTTAATAATCTCACTGAGGAAGGCCAACGGTTTCTGAAAAGCTAAAGTACGTCGAAATCAGCTTTGGAATAGACTATATTTTCACCGGGGAAACATGAACAAAATGGATATTTACATCAACACTAAATTTTGCTGGTGCCTACAGAGCTAGTTGGATTAAAACAGATGTTAAGAAGTAAGTGAAAATGTGAACTTTGTGAATTATACTTTCATTAAAATGTTTCAGAAGGTTTGCTAATGTCAAACTACACGTGTGACAGAGCTGTCAGTATACCCATATTTCAATGTTTATGTTGAAATGACCTATCTTCTTTGAGGTATAGCTTAAAATTTAGGGTATGCTCATCACTTGAAACTAGCTTTAAATCAAAGTTTTATCTATAGTCTTTATATTAGAATTAAAATCATTCATGGGGAAAATGTGCCAAAGGGTTGAAATTGCCCTTGTAAATGTACACTATTTTTGACATGCTTGGGTTAGTATTTTGAAAAGGTGTTCTGGAAGGAAAATATGTCTTGAACAATACTAGTTGACCCTTAAATTATAACTAGTGTTATGTAAATCACAGAAAATTGAAAAAAATCTGGTCCATACACAATATTTTGGACCCTATGAGATCCCGAATGGGGCTTATTTCAATGTTGAACCTGTTTACCTGGAAAAACTTAGAAAATTGAATAAGTCAAGAAATTGACTATGCTCATCACCCAAAACCAGGTTTTTCTAATTGCTTTTTCACCTGGATTTGTGGCAATGCCAGTTATGCGACCACGAAAAATGCGCGCGGCACTTTTTTTGGACACTGAAGATGGTAACATTTGATGTTGTCATATATTGCCATCCTCTTATCGTAACATAACTTAACTTATTTTAGTGAAATTGTTAAAGAGTTGTGTTCACTATATGCGTGTAGTATCTAAGATTTTTTCATAGCATTATATGATAAATTTAAGTTCTGTTTTCTATTTTTAGGTGATAGTAGCTGTTCATTCCAGTGTTGGTATCAAATTTTGGACAAGTTTCAATTATTATTTCACATTCCTTTATTCAAATATCCAAATAAATGGAATATGACATCAAGCTGGAGGACTAGATCCTGTTTTCAAACTTGTTTTTTTGTAAAAATAGAAAATAACAACTTATTCTGTGTTGTTCTAATAAAAACCATTGTTTTTGATATGCATATATCTTAATTTTATTCTTTGTTAAAATGTGTACCTGGAATACTGAAATCTTTCAGATCAGCAAACAATACCTTTATAACTTATATAGCCAAGTGTTCTATCTATTTTTGTTCAGATTAAACAAATAATGGGTAAAATATTAGATAACATTTTTTCCAAAAATATGAGCGCTTGCCTGTTTTCAAAGCATAAAAAGCAATAAAATAAAGCAATTATTTTTTATTTAAAACCTTTGGAATGCACAGCTTAATGTTTTCCACGAAATATTACAAAGTTTCCGTTCATTAAAATGTTGTTTTATCAACTTTAAAACCAGATAAATCCTCGAAACACTCCTGATATATGTCGCCATATTGATTTTCTGCGCGCATGCGCAGACAAATTGCCTACCTGTTGCTCCCAATAAGTTTTCCATATATAATGCGCAAGTATCCGTATTCCTCTACTATGTTTCAGTATGTGAACAAATCATGGCTAATGAAAGTGAGAGCAAAAGTACTTTGAGCTTTCCTAGGTTCCCCCGATAATAGCGACCTTAAGCATGTAGGACGGGAACGCAACGGCAAACAAACTCGTTGAACCAAATGATTGCAGAAGAAAACCTGTCGTCTATTATCCATCGTATGAAAATAATACATTTTAAGGATCAAGATTATCACTGGGTTTTTGATTGAGAAAAGTTCTAGGACCCAATTTAAAATAGCAGTTGTCCCAGCTTGAAATGTAAGCGTTGTACACAAGACGTGATAATCTGTATTTTGCCGTTGTAAAACAGAGCTGCGCCGACGTCTAAAACGAACGTGGATTTTAATTATTAATTTCTGCTCACTTTCTTGCATTAATATGACATTATTAGCTGTTCTCGTTGCACTTTCGTCCTGCTTTGTTGAAGTTCTTGATAACGGTAGTTCTTAATAATTATAAAAGTGTAAAATTTAAGGTGGTTTCTTGACACATCCCCGTACTAGATTAAGCCTTGCTTAAGTGCGCTAATATCTAAAACTGGCTGCGCCTGTGCTCTGACAGAACTAGAATGTATTTATTTCATTGCATTACCTCGACTTTCAGAATGTCACATTTTGACCTCGCAGTGTTTATGTTTGCATATTTCTTGGATACTTTGATTGTTTGTTGGATGTGTAGTGCAACTAAAACACCCACCTTAATACAAAAGTTACAGTAACTGAACTACCATCAATGTATAAAATTAAAGAAAATATAGTCAATATTTGTAATGAAAGTCTAATTTTGATACAATTTTCCAAATTAAAGGTTCCGATCCAACTGGAGAGTTTTTTAATCCTGCTTACGATTGTTTGAAAATTCTTGACAAAAATCCGGAGGCAAAGGATGGCTTTTATTGGATTAAATTATCTGGAATAGTTCCAAAAAAGGTAACGGCTTATCAAATGAGCTACTTTTGCTTTCTTATGCAAGCAGTGGCCCCTCGATGTTTTTCATGCAGAGAGTAGTCTTAATAGATACGTTCATTTTCGATGAAACGTTAGAGAGGGGGTGGAAAATATTCAGTTCTAAATATAAAAATCTATGTGTCTATATGCCTCCCGTTGAATTAATTTGTCAAATATGAATATTCTGAAATCAATATTTATCACTAGAAGGTAATATATAGCCTGATAACAGACCTACGTTTCACCCGCCCTAAAATTCGTCGACAGAAAGGGCGAAACGTAGGTCTGATGAAAATGTTGTCAAAAGCGCCTTCCGCCCACTTTGCATTTTGCAATAATTAACGATGATGATTGACACATACATGTACAGTGCCTTTTTTAACTATATATCTGGGGGGGGGGGCAATTGCCCCCAGGGAAAAAATTTCCCCCCCCCCCCCAGTAAAGCCATTTCTGCCCTCGAAGTGCGAAGCAGAATTGCTCATGATTGCTGTCAGAATTGCAGTTGATTTACTTGATAATGAGATTATGCCCTTCCATAGCCTCCTCCACAGCCATCTTGTGTGTAATTCATATTGTTCTTCACCGAGTATTCATATTAGCGATAGATTTCATGCAAACAATCCGATAAAATGCTAGCCTTTCCAAGCCTTACGGCTATTTCCTAGCACTCTCCTCCGCAGAGACATTGTGTTTTGTTTTGGGAGGTTTTATTGCAACATTTGTTTCTTAAAATATCAAGTTATATTAAGACCCCCCCCCCAATCGCCAAAAAACCATTCTCTCAGAAAGGCTAAATCCGTAGAGTTACGTTACATACGTTAGACGTACGTTACATGCTCGAAGCTGAAACTGATTAAGTACGTCTTGACTGAGGAAAAAGACGAGTACTGGAGGAACTTGCCTGCTCACAGACGTTGTAGCTTTTACGCCAAGCGACGAAATACTACCGTCTGCTTACCCAAGCTGCATATTCAATTCCCTTTGTTTTAGGAGCCAATCATCTGGCAGTGTTAAAAAAAGTTAAAAAAAGCCAATTGGAAGCCGCCTTATTGAAAGATTAGCTACTGGGGAAAGCCCTTGCACATGCATTGGAATAGATTGTTGGGGTTGAAACTTGAAATTTGTTTACTTGCGTGTATATACAGTATCTTGGAAACTATAGCGTTGAACTTCACGATGTTTACGTAGAACAATATTGTGATTATCTTCTCGCATGTTCAGCAAACAATCGGTGTATATAAAGTGCTAAAGCAATGCAGTAGGCAAAATTTAAATTTCTGTTAACAATGACAAGCAATCAATAGGGAAAATCGAGTATATCAGGATGACAGGATATGTCCAAATGTTGATCTTGATACTTCTTATATGCCATGACTTCGACGAAATCTTCTAAAAGATTAAGCTCTCATTGTCATGTAGATAAGTATAGCCAAGTTAGAGTATAAACGTTTCGAAGTTTGGGCGAATTGGAAAATTCATCACGGCGCAATTTTACAGGTTTGTGTTGTGTTTACAGTTTACATTCAGAAGTGTTGCTCAAACAGCAAATTAGTTTACTTAGAAGCTAATATTTCGCTTTTTAAGCCACAGTATTATATAAAATTTTCTGTCTTCCGAGTTCTGTTGTCTTATAAAGATAAACCGTTAAAATTTCAGCGAAATATATTCGGCATTTGATGCTGTCTGGCTAAGATTCATACAGTATAAATATGCCAATCCTGTCCGCGTTTTAAATATAACCGAACATCTTTATATCCAAATCTGATCATTAATGGTGCATTTTATTACCTGGACAAGTGTCAGTATCTTTAAATTCAATTTATGTGCAATTTTGATCAAAATTCAACCGACGACGGCTTTCAAAATATATATTTATATTTATTCCGCTCCTAAATCAACTGACGTCACTTTCCAGAATTTGGAAGGTAAATTCCGATTGGTCGACGTAGCGGAATTCAGTTTCGCGCTCGGGTAAGCAGACGGCAGTATTTCGTCGCTTGGCGTAAGAACTACAACGTCTGTGAGCAGGCTATGGAGGAACTTGATTTGTGAAATCTCGTTAAAGCAGTTGTAGATATGGTTCCAAGAAGAATAGATTTAGTTTAGATTTTTAACTGTTAAATACATATATGCATCATCATAGCATGAGTATTCAGTTCTTCTCAGACTTATTCTGTATCGTACGAAAAAGCAACGCAATTTTGAGAATGCGGAAATGGTGTCTCATTTAACCTAAAATGATTTAAATGCAACATTTCTGATCAAAATCACATTGGGATCCTCCCCCCTCCCCCAGCGTCACAGAAAGGAAATAAGGTGAACTGACCCCTACTCCTATTTTTCAAGGTGACTTTTCCAATTTATTTAATTCCGAGTAGAAATGTCTGGAAAAATTCATGTCTTCGATGTACTTTATAATCTTCGGAATTCTGCTAGATTTCACTCCCAAAATGCATGAAAACGCAATTCAAGGACCCTAGATTTCAAAATTTTCCGGACCCAGGACCTTCCTAGACGGTCTCATGCCTTCGGCGTGAGGTTCGTCCCCCCCCCTCCCCCGTAAAATTAAGGTTTGGCTACGCCACTGGTTATAGCTGTACGTTTATAGCTACAAAGAGTTGAAATTATTGTTTAAAGTGAAATATAGCTGAAGTTAATAAATTAAAGTTTTACAAAATCTCTCTTCAGACTCTCGTCAGTCGCGCGTTCGCCAAACCTCGATGGCTCATATTTTTCGTTCTGCCTTTTTTCCTGTTTGCCCTCCCCCTCCCCCCCCCCTCCCAGTGAAAATTCCTTAAAAAAGGCACTGTACATGTAATACCTAAAAATACAATGAAAGTTGTCGATTTCACTTTATTGCAAGTTTGTAAACTAGTAAGAGTCGTTTGTGTGATGTTACCCTGAGTGTATATCCACACCGGGCAGGCTTGAAAAATATGCCTGGCCACGGCGGGATTCGAACCTACGACCTTTGGAATACTAGCCCAATGCTCTTCCAACTGAGCTGCGCGGTCAGGACGGTTCGAGTATGCGATATTTCGGAACTGAGTCTAGTTCATTCCATATCAGTGTAATCTAATAATCATGAATAAAGATTTCATGATTATTATAGATTACACTGATATGGAAGGAACTAGACTCAGTTCCGAAATATCGCATACTCGAACCGTCCTGACCGCGTAGCTCAGTTGGAAGAGCATTGGGCTAGTATTCCAAAGGTCGTAGGTTCGAATCCCGCCGTGGCCAGGCATATTTTTCAAGCCTGCCCGGTGTGGATATACACTCAGAGTAACATCACACAAACATCTTATTCACCTGAGTACATTACTTTGTTTATTTTTTTGTTTAAATACTTTATTGGGTAAATATAATAATTATTTACAAAAGACGTACTAATACTATGCATGCGAAGAACAAATATTACCCAAATGGAAGAGGTGCGAACGGAACGTAAATAATTTGCGCTATCCATGCAAGGCACCTTTCCAACAGAATACATGTAAATATAGTTTACTATGTAAATACTAATACAAGTTTATACAACAAGACAATTAACTCCTATGACAGGAACAGTCACGTGACATAGACCAAGTACATAACAAGTTTACATCGAATACGGTCGATACTAACATAGAATAATAATTAAAGAGGTAGTATTTAAATGTTTTGACACTAGAAAATGTATTTGGCGGAGCTACTTTACAAACACTGTTCCATAATTTCACGATCCGGTTGAAATATGAGTTCTGATATGTTGTGGTTTTACACAATGGAGTCTTGAGCAACAGGTTGGGATTACGACATAGACGGGAGTGGTTATGGGTTACAAACGAGACATAGTCATGAACATTGAGATCGGAAATACCATAAAGAGCCTTGTAGAAGAACATTAGATCTTTTATCT